CGGAGGCAATGAAATTCTGCGTTGGTCGCACAATCGGGTGTGTGCCCGAGGGGGAAGAAGACCTGTGTTCTGGAAAAAACTCTTCGTGGGCCAAGGCTTGGTGCGCAGAAGAAAAAACGGGCCTGGATTAAGGGCCAGTTGAATTAAATGATCTGGTTCCAGGAGTGCGCCGAGACTATGCTGAGGCGTTGCAGGCTTGGGCTTGTGTTTGGACATGTCCATCATTAAAAATAGCTGAAGCATTGCGGGCCTGGGCTTCGACTTGGACATGTCCATCATTAAAAACAGGTGAGTGCATTTTGGGCTTGGGCTTGAGGCCCGGTGGGTAGCCATGCAGACAGTAACGCCTGTCCACAGTGTGGTCCACAAGTCCACAGTGTGAACAGGTGGGTCGTCTCCTACCTTGAGTTAGGGCAACGGACGAACCAGACCCTTGAGCCATTTCTGTGTATGCGTCGAAGCCGATTGCACGGTGCCGCTCTTCTTGCACCACCAGCGAGAAGGCCTTCAAAATGGATGGAGAACATTCCATCATCAGAATTTGGGCTCTAATAGCAACATAGGAATGATTTAATCCCATTAAAAAGGTCATGACAAACTCTTGCTCCTGATAATAATTCCACGCCTTCATGTTTCCACAATGACAGGTTGGAGCTGGTTGATAAGTTTTGAGTTCGTCCCAGATTGTTTTCATCCGCGTGTAATATGTGTTGATGCTGAGTGACCCTTGAGCAAGGTTGTTCATGCTCTGTTTCAGTTGGTAGATACGCGGCGCATTGCTCTGCTAATAACAAAGCCGCAAATCGGTCCACATAGATCTTGCACTTTCATGGTATAACAAGCTATTGGCTATCTCCTTTGTTACAGCATTCAGCAACCAAGAAGTTACCATGCTATTACAACGTGACCAAGCTGCGGCAGTGGAGTCGGTGTTGCTCGGTTGATCGTAGGTTCTGTCTATGAAATCCAATTTATTTTTGGCGTTCAGTGCTATTATGACTGCTCAAATATTTGAAGTTCAATCACTGAGCTAAGGATGTTTGATTAATTAATCCGCTCTTATACCATGTTAGGAAAAGAGAAGAGAGGGCAAAAGAGAGAGCATAAGATGAAGAGAAAATACTCTCTGAGTTCACTTTTACAGCCTAATGGAATATATACTGCCATTGTACAACAAATGACATAAGAAAACAAAAACGGTTACATTACAAAACAACAAACTAATTTCACCTTAACACAAACTAATCTTAATATCTTCTAATTAATCTTAATAGTGGTTATAAAATAATTAAGCATAATCTTTAACCTTTGAAGCACCCGTCACTACTTCATCAGTTTGGTGTTACATACAACATTAATATTATGGAACTTCGTGACAATTAAATTGTTATAGGTGAATATTGTAAGTATTGATTCTATCCCATATGTAAATTACTTTGAGAGAGTTTTTAAGTGCTAGTAAAATACCATCACTCGAAGGAATGATGTTTATTCTTTAAGTTGTTAGTCTTTCCAATTCATTTGCCTTACATTGATTTTTTTAGTGATTGTAATTTTTCTAATTTTGCACCGGTGGTTGAATATCAATTTTAAAACTAATTTGTTATATAAATTTTTTTATTGAAATATTTGTAAGAAGATTTACGATATTAATGAGATATATCGCATCAAGTGATTACATATATAGTTTATCTTAGAGAGAGTGATAATGACATTGGTCATGTACACGATTTTTTAATTTATCAAAATGTTATTACTTGTTCTCAACATGAAATGTAAATTCATGTAATAAAACGTAAAATACTAGTTTATAGCACAAAATAAAGTATAAGAATTTGTTACATTGTCCATTAGTTTAAAAGTAATCGGTTGTAAATAAGTGGTTAAAAGCAAAAGAGACTCTAAAAGTAAAGTTGATCACTACGAGTTGCAAAAAAAAATTTCACTAAAAGTAAGGCATGAACTTTAATTAGAAGAATTTTAAGCAAATGATAAGAAATAATTAATTTATAAATTAAAGAAATTCATTTATGGTTTAAACTAAACGTGTATTTTAAGTTTGATGAACTAATAACATGTCTTGATTTTATTACGTATAAGATAAATAAGTGAATTTATATAAAAATTGATGAGAGTAAATACATTTAATTCTTAAAATCATACGAATTAATGTTATAATAAAAAAAAAATATAGAAATAAATATAAATATATTTATAAAAACTGAAAAAAAAAAAAAAAGTTATTACATGGTTTTGCCCGAAAAAGAAAATTATGATTACGTGTGCTACTAAGTGAATGGGTTATTTTAAAGGCCCTTTTAACAACCCATTTATATCAATGGGCGTTGAAGCCCATAAAAAGAAGACCTGGAACTTTCGCGGCTCTCCTACTTCAGGCGCCAAAATTACAGTTGAAGCTGATAATGGTGGTGGAAGTGTCTGGAACGAACTGGGATCTTCTCCTTTGCTAGAACTCTCCTCTTCCTCCTATAAATATACCAATACGCACGCCTCTTCCCCATCGAAGCACATCCTTTCAGCGATATAGGCAGCATATCAGAGCAATCTCAAAATCAAATCTTTCAAGTTTCTGTAAAGCAAAACAAAACCAGTTCTTCAACATGTCTCTGATTCCGAGCTTCTTTGGAAACCGAGGAAGCAGTGTGTTCGATCCCTTCTCGCTCGACGTTTGGGACCCATTCAAGGATTTTCCTTTCCCTTCCTCGTCAATTTCTCGGGAAAATTCCGCCCTTGTTAACACGCGTGTGGACTGGAAGGAGACACCGGAGGCGCACGTCTTCAAGGCGGATCTTCCCGGTCTGAAAAAGGAGGAGGTGAAAGTGGAGGTAGAGGATGACAGGGTGCTGCAGATAAGCGGGGAGAGACACGTGGAGAAGGAGGACAAGAACGACACATGGCACCGCGTGGAGCGCAGCAGCGGGAAGTTCTCGAGGAGGTTCAGATTGCCAGAGAACGTGAAGATGGACCAGGTGAAGGCTTCAATGGAGAACGGGGTACTTACTGTTACGGTGCCCAAAGCAGAGGTGAAGAAGCCCGACGTTAAGGCCATTGAGATCTCTGGTTGAGAATCTGGAATTCATGGTTCTACAGGTGTTTCGTTCATGTTTCTTAGCGTATAGTTTATGAATCAATAAGTGGGTACAAGATATGATTGTGCATGCCAAGTGTTTGATGAAATGTGGGTGTTCGCATTTTGTAATGTTGTTGTAAAGTTGATATTCTGATCATGAATAAAATAATCATCGAAGCATAAAGAATTTTTTATTTATGTTTGTTGCAGGTTTTTTCTTTTTTTTTTTTTTTTTTTTTCTTCTAAAGGAAGCCAAAATTTTAACGTCAAATAATTAATTAAAAGATACTTGATTTGAGGTTAATATATGGTGGGTTTTAGGTTAGATCTGATAAGGAAAAGCTTTTTTTTTTTTTTTTTTTTTTTTTTTGTGTTTTGCAGAAAGCTGTTCAAGCGCGACCTTTGGAAGAAGATGAACTTTTCTGCAAGCTTTTTCCAGATATTGGGGCCGTAAATAATTTCAAAAAACTTTGTGGCTAAATAGAAAATGAGGACTTTTGATTTGACCTACATATTTATTTTGTTTTCTGATTCTGCCAGTAGCTTCTACAATCTACTTGGTTATTTCAGTTCTTTATTTCTACATAGTCGCATGTAAATTTTGATATAATTATATGATGTTCCAAGTATTCTGCTAATATTAAGGACTTAAGGACGATAACAAATCAAGTTTTGCTACAGTTTTCCCAATTTATGTATTTTCTTCACTCTATTATTGAGTTAGAATAGAATGCATAATAAAGTGATACTGTCAAATTATATGATCAATTGACATATACAGAAGATGAGAAATAATTTCTACTCAATCAATGCTCTTCATACTCCTTTTGTATGAAACAAATGTTTGAAAGATATTGATAAGACTGATAAGTTTCACCAACAATATAGTGGTGACTTAAAATGACGAGATAAAATCTACTAGCTCATTCAAGTTGTTAGAAGAAGATCCACCCCTGCGAACACTAGCTTCAACCATCTTCATGAGATCCATAGCCCTTTTTCTCATCTCTTTCCCTTCCACATCCGACATTAACCTCCTTATAGCATTCTCTATTTCCTCTCTGCAAAAACCCTTTTCTAATTCTATGCCTATGCTCCATACATGGCTTAAGTACCTAGCATTCAGTAGTTGGTCTCCGAAATTCGGACTACATATCATTGGAATCCCTGTAGAAATGCTTTCAACGGTTGAATTCCACCCACAATGACTGAAAAATCCTCCTACTGCATCATGTGCAAGGACTTCTTTTTGTGGTGCCCACTTTACGACATAACCTCTTTCTTTAATTGCATCTTCAAATCCATCCGGCAATGATTCTAAAGATCGCAAACCACCCAATGAACTTGGTGGAATCACCCATAGAAAAGATTGTTTACTATTGACTAAACCCCATGCCAGCTCTGTTAACTCCTCCTTATTGAGAAAGATTATACTTCCAAAGCTTACATATAAAACAGAGTTTGGAGCTTGCTTGTCAAGCCAAGAAATGCAACTTGTGTCTTCTTCTAACAAGCTACTACAAATTGTTGGACTAACTTTGTGTGTTGGACCAATTGAAAAGATTGGAATCTGGAAATGTTTTTTAAGCATTTCCAACAATGATTGTTCAAGGAATTCTATAGTATTAATAATCATGGCTGAAGTTGTTCTTGTATCACAGAAAAAAGTTGACAGCTTCAACATAGCATCTAAATTTTCCATGCTTGGAAGGGACAAGTCTTTGAATCTGAAAGGCGAGAAACCAGGAACTTGTTGGAGTAATTTTGAATCTGCATTCATAAAATGCTAATATCAAAATATGTTTTAGAGTTAAAAGCAAGAAAAAAATATTATCTTTTCTTTTGTTTAGATGCTAAAAATGCAAGAGAATATAAATGTAGATACAATAAATAATAGTTGTTTGGTTATTGGGAGAGAAAAACTATTTCTAATCTCACCTATTTAGGGGAGGTATTTTAGTATTTTAACTAAGTTAATCTTATTTTCTTTCATTTAATTCAAATTCAAAAAAAAATTATAAAATTAGAGTGAGGCAAAATAGAGAGCTAAATTTCAACTTTTATCTCTCATTCTCCCCAAATATTAATCACTCTCAAACATGAGAAAACATCATAACTCTTTGTTTCACTCTACTCCATTTCTCTCTATTTTCGCCCAACTAATGCACCAACTTTATTCGAAAACATGAATAGATAATGTAACAAACAATGATCAAACATTCACATGCTAGCTAGAAATGAAAAGTGTTAGACAAACTAAAGTCAATACATTTTATCTTAATAGTCTATCATCTGAACAGATAGACAGGATAGTATAATCTACTATAATAACTACATATATAACATGAATATATGACAGTTGTTGAATACAACTTCAACTAGAATATCGTTTTCTTTTATTCAATTGGCATTAGTATTTAGGCATATCTCAATTAATCCACCTTCTTTTATTCAAATAAAATCATATTATTCATATTATTTTAGAGAAATTTAACTTATTATTTAAATATACATTCGTACCTTGGATGGGAATATGGCCTTCTTCAAAAAGACGAGGAGTTATAAGGTAGTTCATAAAATTCCCAGCATTAGAAGTGTGAAACGCTACACTTGGTAGATTTAGATCATTGGCCACTTGCGCTGCAACATACATCCAGCCATCATAAATGACACAGGGGAGTGAATTATTTATTTGCTGTCTACTTGCTCTTACAATTTGAGTCAGGGAATCCTCAAGTGAAACTTTATACTTGTCGTTCAAAGATAGTATACTATCCACCCAATTGAAAGAGCTGCTACTGTCATCGTTGCAAGATCCGTTGTTGTTAGAAGATCCATCTTTGAGGGGTTGAAAATTGAGATGAGGGAAACATGATGGATCGACAGGATAAAATTCATGATGACATACTGTGATTGAAAACCCTCGTGTATGAAGGATGGTGCCTAGTTGTAAGATGGGACTGATATGGCCTTGAGATGGTATTGGAACTAGCACTACATGTAGAAATTGGGTTCCCATCTCTCTTGCTCTGCAAATTTGTCTGGGATTGTATAAAACAAAACCTTAAAGGAGAGTAATGGAGATATACAGACCAATCATCCAACCAATAAATATATAAACAATTAAAGTTGCTTACAATGAAGATAATCACGCTTAATAAGAAACTAAGGTATAGAATGAAGATTCTCTGTGGTATATAATAAACAAAATAAAGGTATGTTCTTAAATATATCTTAAATGCCTTTGAATTTCAAAGATGGCATTTCCTAGAAAATTAAAGTTTCCTTGTTCTAGCAAATACCAATTCAGAACTTCAAATTCATATGGACCAAACTTTTTTTGTTAATATATCCATTTATTAGCATTAAATCTCTCCCAGTTTAGTATCAGTTTATTTTGCATTAAATATATTTTGTTAACATATCTATTACAATTTTAGTAATAATGTGATAAAAATCCTAATATATAAATTATATTAAACTAATTTATTTTTTTAATAAATTCTTAATAAAAATATACAATGTATATAACTTTTTATAATTAAGACAATTACGCAAAGGTCCGTTTCAATCAGCTTATTTTCTTGCTCAAGAACTTCAAATTCAAGAAGTTTTTTCCGGGAATAGTCGTGCTAGGGTGGGTACGTTGGAATTATTATTTGTAATTTTTTGTAAGTAGAAGGGTGTTTCCATAAGTCTCTCGCCTAATCTATCCAGGCTACACTATGAGCAATGGACCTTGATCATTTGGAACCGGTACAGAACCGTCCGCAAATTTCAACTTCTTCTTTGAGATTAAGGTCATGCCATTGACCTTGACCAGGAATGAAAACTTTTACCTGTAAGTACGGTTGAAGTAAGCTGGAGTGAAGGACTCTCCTTCGGATGTGTATAAAACAGATTCGCCAGAACTTCCTCGAGCTTTGACAAATCTGAGCTAGCAGAAGCAATGTCCATGACTTACGGTACGAAACCTCGAAGCTGAGCTGAAGGAAGCAAAATATGACGAACCTAGGGTTCTGATTCGAACCAACTGGAAGCTCAATCAGAAAAATTTCTAAAGCTCTGATACTTGACAGAATAGAGCATGCATTTGCAAACATATATGATGCAAAACTGAGGAAAAATGACGAAGATTTGAAGAGAATCAAGGAAATAAAGTAGTGAACGTTCGGGAAACAGAGAGACAGAGAGAAGAGAGAAAATAAGTCGACTTATGGGGAAACTCGATGGAAAAGTGTTTTCCGTTCATTAAATAAAGGAATTTATACAGGAAAAGAATGAGTAATTATAAAACAAACCAGCAACTTTTACAAAAATATACAAAAACCCTTCTACTTACAACAAATTACAAAATAATTAATCCACCGAACTATAACAATTCATATTAGATTAAACTGTTTTATTTACTTCAAGCTTCAATTGCAGGAACCCGTTCTCGTTCCAAACCAAGAAAATTGTAATTTCGCAGACAAAATCACACCAGAGAAATTGTAACGGCCCCGAAAATTCAAAAAGAAATACATATAATAATTTAAGTGCAGAAGTAAAATAAAATATTAAGATTAAAATCATTTACACAATAATTTAAAAGTACTAAATAACATCACGGAATAAGTTCTCTGAAAAAAATACGAGAAATGAGAAAAATAAAAGAAACTATAAAGCATCTAGCATCTACTCGCAATTTTCTTGTGGATCGGACTCAGAAACCAGATCCTGTTAATCTAAAATGGTTAAATAAGGAATGAGGTACACTAAACCAGTAAGGACATCACACTATATCACCGTCGCAGAAGTAAAGGTTAGGAAAAAATCAAAACAACTAATAGAACAGGAGATTTAAACCAATACATTTATTTAGAATAAAATCATTTACTCTTTTTCTTACCCTTGGAGAATATGTAAAAATAACTTATAAAGACAATAATATCATACAGATCACAATTTCATGCATAATCAATAACATAAAACATATCATGAATTCGTATTCATTAACAATAATTAATTATCACAATTTCTCGTTTTCACCAGCCTACTAATATCCATAGGGATCTATATGGGTGTCTCTGCCACACGTGAACCATTCTTCTTAACAATATTAATTCCAGGACCGTCCCCATACCCCGTCTAGTATGAGTGCCAAGACATTATACCTCAATACCCCGTCTGGTATGAGGGTGAAGCGGGTCGTCCCCATACCCCGTCCGGTATGAACACCAAATGACCAAGTTTTCATACTCTGTCCGGTATGAGACAACGTTCACGATAGGGTTCCTTACGAACCCGATCCGTCCACCATCTCCTAGAATATCTAGTGAGGCTGTCACCTTATCTGTTTTCCCTTAGTCTCCATTACCAGGTTGAACATAATCACATAAACAATAAACATGCATCCGATAATATAATCATATCTTAAATTTTAAAATCACACAGTGGTCAAGTAAGACAGCAATACATGCATTTAAAATCATAAAATAGATAGACCAGATACCATAATGCATTTAAACTGTAAAATAAATCAAGCAGGAATCGATAGATAATAATGTCTGGTTCGGGCTCTATTAGCAACCTTAATTAATTATGCATATATATTTAATTTGTACAAAATACAGTATTATAATTTATTTCAACTTCAATTCCATGATAGGAAATAGGGTGAGGGGTCCTTACTTGATTCGACGCCGAAAACTAGATTGTTATTGCGCCTATGGGCGGTCCTTGGGTTCCCTGAATTTTTCATCGGAAATTGAAACACGCTTAGGTACCTACACATGTCCTAAATAACCCAAAAATCAAATTCAGGTCCTACTTGGCCAATTTTAGAATTCCAGTACGGCGGCTCCGCCGTGCTCCGGCGACGGCGATCCGCCTCGAGTTGGCTATTTTCGGCCGTTTTCAACCGAATTTAGCCAAACTTGGATAAGTTCTTATGAGAAAACACACTTAGGGCCCTCAATGGGCCGAAAAAACGTAAAAAACCAAAACTCACAGGCGGTAGGGCTCTCCAGTGCGACAGCTCCTCCGACTCACGTTGCGGTTGGGTGTTTTGCTCCGGTCAACCTATAGAGGAGGAATCGTCCATCGTTTTTAATCTGAACTGTCTGATCACGATTAAATAGAGAGTGAATTTGGACCGTTCATCGCGATTCAATCTAGACTGTCCATGCGCGATTCAATATGGGTCGTCCGTGCACATTTTGATCTAGGTCGAGAACTGATCTCAACCGTTCGATCGCGCGTACGCGAATCGCCCACGTGGCTCCTTCCGCGTGGCCTATTGTGTCAGCGTCTCTGCCACCTGGCGCGTCCTGATTGGTTGGGGCTGCTAACTGGACAGCTGACATAACATAACTTTTCTAAATTACATTTTAACCACCGTTTTTTTTATTTTTTTTTTCAAAAATACTTCAAAAATCTAAATTTTCAACTTTTTTCCCTAAAATTATTTTCAATTAAATCCTCAATTATTTTTTACTCTTTATTATTATTATTATTATTATTATTTTTTATTTAATCAAATTAAAATAAATTCAATTCAATTCAATTCAATTAACACATATTTAATTTTATATAGAAATAAAATAAAATAACATAAAAATAAAAAAATAATAATAATTTGGTGACACAGAAATACAACAAATTAACACAGCTTTAACAGATGTGAAGGAAAGTTGGTAGATCAACCAGAGACATCAATGGCTTTAACATCTGGTTTCTTCATCTCCATTTTAGGCACCGTAACAGTAAGCACTCCATTCTCCATTGACGCCTTAATCTTATCCATCTTCACATTTTCCGGCAGCCTAAATTGCCGTGAGAACTTGCCGCTGCTGCGCTCCACCCGGTGCCAAGTATCGCTCTTGTCTTCCTTCTCCACGCGTCTCTCACCGCTGATTTGCAGCACGTTATTGTCCTCGATTTCCACTTTTACTTCCTCTTTCTTCATTCCAGGAAGATCAGCTTTGAACACGTGCGCTTCCGGAGTCTCCTTCCAGTCCACGCGGGTGTTGAGGAGTACCGAATTTTCCCGAGAAAGTGACGGGGAAGGAAATGGGATGTCCTTGAATGGATCCCAGACGTCAAGCGAGAAGGGATCGAAAATGCCGGTCCGCCGGTTGCCAAAGAAGGTTGGGATTAGCGACATTCTGGTAGATCTGCTGGATAATCGGTAAAACACCGATATCTGCAAAAGGTAAAGTGTATGGTTGCCGAGAAAGTAACTAGAAGTCTTTCCTGTCTAGTCTCGTGTCTAATGGGATTGGAGGGCGAGGGAATACATTGGGTATTTATGAGAATGAGAGGATAAATCTGGAACTCTCTGAGATGAACTTTGTGAGCTCCTCTGGAAGAATCTCGACTTTTCTTTTCTTCCTTTTCATACAATGCAGAAGATAAATCCAGTATTTTCAAGAAGAAGCTTGTTCCATTTTTTGGTTAGAGAGATATAACTATGATAAATATTCTCTACTTTTCTTGACAATTCTCTACCTTTTTGTGCTATATGTGCTGGGCTTGAATACCCTTTTACCAAAAATTGGCTTGAAAGAAAACCCATTTAATTCAAAATCGGATGAACAGATCAGTCCAATTTTCTTGGGCCTATTCAATTCCCAATAAATTTTGAAACTTTTTTTTTCTGAGTCCATTAAATGATTGAATTGGACCGGCTATACATATTATATAAATATACTTTTTTAAGAAAAGGCATATTACTATATTCATAAAAGAACTGGGAGCAAAATTAGCAAAAATTAAACACTAAAAAGATAGAAATTTTTAGGGGAAAAAAAAAGAAACTTTCCTTTGTGGGTCATAAAAATCTTCACTTAATTGGTATGAACAAGATTGAATCTCCCACATTATGAGGCCGGAATTATATGGAAGTGCCTGCCTTGTTTTTGTACTACAAATTCCCCATAAACAGTTTTGTGTAGTACAATTTAGTACTGATGATGGCTGCTGAAGAAATTGCTAGCCGCACTAACATAAAATGAATTGAATTATATAATAGCATTAAATTAAAAAATACTGATCTGGTTTTAGATATTGTTTCACGCAGTGGACATACCTGATTGGAGTTTCTGAAAGCACAATTATAGATTTATATATATATATATATACATATCAATTCCTCATATATCTTTTACAGCCAAAACTCCACAAACAACAATGCTCGTCACTTACGATCAATTAGTGCATGCTTTTCATCTCTCTAGGAATTTGGTAGTACCACCATATTTAGACATTGGTGAAGTACATTCTAAAGCTCATTATGTATATATATTTATATATAGTACAAGGAGATGCATTTTCCTATGCATGAAACTTAAATACTGGGCAGCTCAGGAATACATACATACATTCATACATACATACATACATATATATATATATATATTAGAAGATTACATATGGGTCATATGAAATTTCCATGGGTGATAAAGGAAGTGGAGATCATCTTCCCCGGATGGCCAGGAGATAGCTTGTACTCATACATGGTGGCCTTCGTATCTGTCTTTATAGTTTCAGTGACAGTAGAGTGGCTTTCACACACAAGATGGATCATAAAGGGTTATACAAACCATGTTATTGCAGGAGTTCTGCAGACATTAATGTATGGGATTAGGGTTTGTTTGGCTATGCTTGTGATGCTTGCTGTTATGTCATTTGATGTTGGTGTTTTCTTGGCTGCTGTTTCTGGTTATGGTGTTGGGTTTTTTATTTTTGGTAGTCAAGCTTTCAGGAAGCCAGCCATGAGAATGTATTATGAGCTGCAACCCTCAGATCTTCCTCCTCTCAATTGTTGAATCACCTGCAAATTTTCAGAATTTTTATTCATTTGAATTTCGATATTTTTTAAATGATCAAATTTATAGAATGAAAAGTGATTAATTGGATGATCCGCCTATCATGATCAGATCAAAACCAATCGATGCATTGGATTTTGTTAGTGTCATGCAATGAGTTCGTCAATCTCTAATTGAGCCAATATTCAAACTTAGTACCCGCACATATTTGTACACACCCACATACACACAACTGTCTCTATACTTTATAAGAGTCAGAGTCCTCCATGCTAGTCAGTGTTTTCTCTTATCTGCTTTCTGCTTTCTGCTTTCAAGAAGGATAGTCCACCTATATATATTCTTAGTCATATCTCTATCTCTCTCTCTCTCTATCTTCCCATTTTTTGTAAGATAAAGAAGTCCTAGGAGCCAAGGCAGTAAGGAAGACACCATATCTTTACAAATAAAGAAAGGGTGTGAACTTTTTTGTGACTCGTATATTTATTTTTTTAGTAAAATTTAACTATCTCAATTCCATATGAATCATGCCAAAAATTTAAGTTATTTTTTAATTTTCTTCTTGATCAACGACAACTACGACATTGTTGTCATAACGTATTATAATCAAATTTTTACATTTGAATTTTTTACAAGTATGTACGATTAGAGTTCTAATTATTTTGGATCTTTCTGGAGATATATTTGGTATTACTTTAATAAGAGCAACAATAATGTCCCCGATGTGAGTAATCAATTATTACTAATTTTTATGCTTCGAATAAATATTAATCTTAGGTTTAACTGTTGTATGTTACATTAAAATGAGTCTGATGTTGAATCATATCATTTTTTTAAAATATTTTCTTTAAATGTGATGAAAGTAAGTAAAAAAAAAAATTAATTGTTATCTTTAAAAGTTATTTCTTTTGTAATTTTATATTTCTAATATGAAATAATGAATTGAATTTTTATACACATTTTGGATGTTACGATTAAAATAGTTGTTTTAGCTATAGTTTTTGCTATTTCACTCATTTCATAAAATATTTTATTTTATTTAATGATAACTACCCAATATTAAAAAAAAAAAAAGAATTCTAACCCATATGTACTTTCGTTAGTATCAATGTAAGTGATTTACATATTTCGTGTCATTGCACATCAAAATCTAATAATTAGAGTTAAAATACTATAAATTGTAGTTTATAAGTACTTATAATATATAATTTTTCATATATATTTTCTATTTTTTATAAAAGATAAGAAATATGTTATTTACATATTATTAAAAAATGTATAAACATAAATATGACAATAAAAAAAGATAATACAAAAATATGTAAATTATAAAAACATGTCAAAATAAATTCTCACATTAGCACTTATGCATAATAATAACTTTACTGAGGGCAATCCTATTACAAAAATAGCTTCTATTACACATGTTACAATTTTAACTATTAAATAACCAATTTGATTCTAAAATAAGAAATAACTTATTAGGCAATATATATATATATATATATATATATATATATATATATTCATGGGTTTTACAACCCGAAAAGGAATTGTCTAAAATTATAAGTGTAACACACCAATTCTTATTATTATTATGAGTATTATTTTATTTTAATTTTTTGTAATTTTTACATGAATATAATGATTTATTATGTAATAATATATGGTTTTAATTTAGTTTAATTTAATTAAATAGAAATAATAATAATAATAATAATGGGTAAAATTACTTTAAGGATTTAATTGAAAATAATTTTTAAAAAAATAGGTAAAAATTTGGGTTTTGAGAGTGTTTTTGAAAAAAAAAATGAAAACCAAGGGTCAAAACGCAATTTTAAAAAATTACGTCACGTCAGCAACCCTGGCCAACCAGGACACGCCGCGTGGCAGAGACACTGATGCGGGAGACCACGCGGAAGAGAGCCACGTGAGCGATCTGCATGTGCGCGATCGAACGACTGAGATCCGTTCCCGCGTGCACGGACGGCCTAGATCAAAAGCGCGTACGGACGGCCCAGATTGCATGTGTACGGACGGCCTAGATTGCACGCGTACGGACAGTCCAGATTGAATAGTGTACGGACGGTCCAGATTGCATCGCGATGAACGGTACAGATTCATTTTCTATTTAATCGCGATGGACGGCTCAGATTTAAAGCAGAAGGTTATAAGTAATCTCATCCACACCTAAACCCTAACCCTAGCCGCTAGAGCCCTCGTCGGAGAAGACAGCCCAGCCGACTGCGCCACCCACCGCCGCACCGGAGCACTTTCTGGTCGCCAAACGAGGTAAAAAAAATTTCCTTGACTCAGAATTCGATGTTGAACCCGCCTATAGCCAAATTGGAGCAAAAATACCAGCCAACAGGCCGAAAAAAGCTGCTAAAGCCCAGCGGCGCCACCACGGGTTTTCTCAATTTTTGCCTCCGATGAGGCCATTCCCAATTCCCATTCGATGTAATTTTTCTACCATTGTGACCACTGTTCCTCCCTCTACAGGTTGACTGGAGCAAAATACTAAATCGCGACTTGAGCCGGAGGAGTCCCCGCACCGGAGAGCCCCGCCGCCAGTAAGTTTTGGTTTTCGGTGTTTTTTCAGCCCACCGAGGGGCCTATGGGTGTTTTCTCACATGAACCAATGCAAGTTTGACCGAATTCGGCCGAAAACGGTCGGAAACAGCCAACCCAAAGCGGATTGCCGCCACGAACAGCGGTGCTGTCGTCGGAGCACGGCGGAGCCCCCGTGCTGAAATTCTGAAATTAGCCGAATAGGCCTTGGGTCTGATTTTTGAGTTATTTGGGACATGTGTAGGTACCGTAAGCGCGTTTCAGTTCTCGGAGAAAAATTCAGGGAACCTAGGGACTGCTCGTAGGCACAGTGAAAATCCGGCTTTCGGGTTCGAATCAGGTAAGAACCCCTCACCTTATTTCCTATCACATGATTAAAGTTTAATAAATGATAAAACTGTATTTTATGAATTAAATAGATATACATAATTATTACGGTTGCTAATGGAGCCCCGAACCGGACATATTTCTCTGTCAGTTCCTGTTTGATTATTTATACAGTCTAAATGCAGTATAGTATCTGATTTATTTATTCTATGGTTTTAAATGCATGAATCACTGTTTACTTCATTTTGGCTTGATTTTGTGAATCCGATGATATACTTGCCTTATTGGATGCTCGTTACTTGTTTAAGTATTCATGATTATGTGAGAAACAGCAAACTAAGAAAAAAAAATAGAAAATGTATGTGAATTGATACATGGATAAGTTAACAGCCTCACTAGATATCTTGGGAGATAGTGGACGGACCGAGTCCATAGAAAATCCTACCGGAAATGTTATTTCATACCGGACGGGGTATGAAAACTTTAAATGTTTTGGCGCTCATACCGGACATGGTATGAGGACGGCCCGCTTCACCCTCATATTGGACGGAGAATAGAGGTTTATTATTTGGTATCCATACCAGATGGGGTATGGGGACAACCCTGTAAATTAAGTTTGTCAAGGGAATAGTTCACATGTAGTGGGGACCCCTATGGATCTCCATGGATACTAGTAGGCTGATGAAAAATGGGTAACTGTTGTTTGATGATTGAAATATAAAAGTATGATATGTACTATGTTACAGATTATGTATGAACTTATGATATTTATGATGTTATTGTTTCTATGTGTTGTTTTTATAAATTCTACTGAGGTAAGTGAACGGTAAATGATTTGATTATTGATAAATAATTTTACTTGAAACTTGTGCTCCATTAGTTGTTTTTTATTTTCTACCAACCTTTACTTCTGTGACAGTGATATAGTGTGATGTCTTTACTGGTGTAGTGTAACTCATTCCTTACTTAACTATTTCAGATCAGGAGAACTTGGTTCCCGAGTCCGATCTACAAGAAGACAGCGAGTAGTTACCTAGATGTTTATTAGTTTATTTTATAATCTTTCATTTCCAGTATTTTCCTTTAAATAACTTATTTTCGGTATTATTAGTACGTTTAAGTTATTGTGTAAAGAATATTAACTAAAACCTTTTTATTTCGCTTCCGCACTTATATTCTTTATATACATTTCTTTTTTAAATTTCCGAGATCGTTATAATAAGTGAATTTATCATATTGGTCTATAAAAGAAACACAATTATAATTTTAAAAAATTAGGGGAAGTATTAGCTTTGCAAAATATATCAACTATTTTTTAATTGAATAAGATATTATAAACTGCTTTATTTCTATATTTATTTGATAAAAAATTATATTATAATTAATATGAATATATCTCTTAATGAGTAAAAAGAAAAGAAATTAAAAACAAAATTGCAAATTACATATCAGCCCTCGTACACAATTATTTGATGACAACATACATGTTTACCGCCCAACTCTCTTCCGTTGCAAAATTATTTTAAAACAATAAAAATTTATATTTTTTGTGATTAGGAATTGACGATTATACCCTTCGATATTTTTTGCTGTTTTTAATTTATATTTTTATTCAAATTTGATGAGATTTACAGCCCGCATACGTCTCTCCTCCATATATATGTGGTAATAGAGTACTGTCAAAACTGTCGTGTAGTACAACTACACATTTACATACACATATTTCTTCTTTACTACCACTGTACGATCAGTTTTTCAATTCCCATTGGTCACCGTAACCTGTAAACCTCATCTCCTCTTCCCCACTCCCCAAAATCTATCCAAATTCAACCCAATTAATATGGACATGGATCACGGCCATATGCACGACATGGGTCCGCCACCGTCGTCGGCCATGGTGAACAATGGAACCGGAACCGGAGGGATGGGTCATAAGAAGATGATGATGCACATGAGCTTCTATTGGGGCAACGAAGCAACCGTTCTCTTCACTCACTGGCCGGGAACCAGAGGCTCCGGCATGTATTTTCTGTCGTTGGTCGTCGTCTTCGTGCTCTCCGTTTTGGTCGAGTGGCTCTCGCATTGCCGGCTGATTAAACCGGGATCGGGTCATGTCTCCGCCGGTCTGATTCAGACACTGTTGCACGCGCTGAGAATGGGTCTGGCCTATATGGTGATGCTTGCCGTTATGTCCTTCAATGGCGGAGTTTTCTTGGTTGCGGTTGCGGGTCATGCTCTGGGGTTCTTGCTGTTTGGCAGCAGGGTTTTCAATAAAGGTGATAGGGATGGAAAAAACTCTCATCTTCCTCCAATGTCTTGTTGATTTTTCGATCTTCTGTTTACTTTTCTGTGTTTTTAAAGAATAAATTTTCTAGCGTGATGAAGATGTTGTGCTCGGGGAATATTTCATTATCAAAAATCGTTTGTCATTTTAATTTTAGGTATTTTGTACATCTAAAAATATATATATATATATATGCAAATAAATAAATATTGATGTTCATAAATTGGCTTAAGAATTCATGTGTTTGAATTTGTAATACCAATTTATTTTATTATTTATTTATTATATTATAATTTTAAATATTAGTTTTTAATAATTAAAAACTAATAAATATTTGATTTGGCAATTAATACATTTCAATTTTATGCTCGTTTACTTTATGTTAAAACTTTGAATATTAATTTACTCAAATTATTTGCTCTCTGTCACATTAAAATTCTAATTAATTTTGTAGTTTGATTCTTATATTAGTATGATAGCTTAATTAATATAAATAATTATAACATAATTTTATAATATTTACGTTTGAGTTATTAATTATTTCAAATCTATTAATTTAATTTTTTTTTCTCTTTCAAAACACAATATGTTATCTTTTAATTATATATTAAAATTGATATAAAGAAAAAAACCAATTAAATTTAATAAAAAGAAAATGGTTGTGCTTATATTTTGGTCCCAAGTAAAATTGAAATACTTTATTCATAATTTAAGGAAAAAATAAATAAAAATTTCAATTTTACTTTAGAAGGGTATATTTTTTTCTTAATTTATTTATTTACTATTGAATTATTGAATTTGAGGGGAAACATAAATATCTACAATCTAGTGGTTACGTTTCATTTTCCAAGACAAGTATTGGCGTGATTATGGACCACATGATAAACATTAATGTCCGACGAAAATTCAATTCAAATGTGTGAAGTTTTTTTCTTTTTCTTCTTTTCGTAATTTTCGAAAAAGTTTTTAAATCTTGTAATTTCCTCGAAGTGGCTCCGTTTCGTGACTCATTTTATACGAACCTTCGAAATAACTCTATTTCATTATAATTATATTACAGTCATACCTCAATTCTATTTATTTAATGTCTATTTGATCTCATTAACATAAGAGATATCGTTTTTAATCTATTTCTTTTTATTTCTATATACGAAAAGTTAAAACATTATCATATAATAATTCAAAAATTAAAATAGATGAGAAAAAAAATGAAGTTTGTAATGATTTTTAAATTTTTTATATTAAATAATTTAGTATTTTTATACACGAAGATAATCAATTTGATCGTTGTAGTCGGACTTTATTATAAATTTCTGATCACATTCTTCGTATACCTTCAATAACAATTATATTTTAATTCAATTATTGAATTATTATTTCTTTATAAAAAAATTATGAATTTAAAATTAAATTATATTTTATACATTATTTTTTTATAAAAAATTATAAATTCAAGTCAGATTATATTTTTTATATTTCGCTATGAATAATTTATGTGTTATTTAATTAATAAAATATTTAAAAATTTATCTTAATTCTCCCTTTGTAGTTTTATTATTTCGTAAAAAAAAAAAAAAAAGAGTGATGTTTTCATAAACTATCAATAGGAAAATAAAAGTCAACTACTTCTCCAATGATGCAACAAATAATAATCCTGTGGGCAAATCCTCTCTTTAACTTTTGACTTGACCATTTTTATTAAATTATTAAGAAACTATAAGTTAAACATATATATATATATATATATATTTCTTCTTGCCTGTGCAGAGCTGTTTCTATAGGCTTGCTAAGATGTTTTCATACAATGCTTTGCTAAGATGTAAGTACTTACTTATAGAATGTGTAACGGCACTGAAAATTTAAATAAAAATATATATATATTAAAAATTTTAAAGGTGAAAGCTTAATAAAAATTCTGATTAACATTACTTACATAATAACTATAAATGTATTCAATATATGAAAGAATAAACTAATTAAAAGAAATACTCGAAATAAAAATTATAAATAGAACTATAAAGTCTTTAGGCGTCTAACTCGCCGTCTTCCTGATCTGAAATGGTTAAGTAATGAATGAGCTACACTAACCCAATAAAGATATCACACTATCTCACTGCCACATAAATAAAGATTGGTAGAAAACAAAAACGACCAATGGAGCATAATTTATAACAAACTCATTTATTAATGATAAAAACCTTTACTGTCCACTTACCTTGGTGAGATTCGTGAAAATAACATATGGAAATAATAACATTATAACCATCATAGAATCATATACGCTTTGTAACATAACACATGTTATACTTTTTTACTTCAATAATCAGATAACAAATTTCCTCTTTTACCAGCCTACTAGTATCCATAGGGATACATAAGGGGCTCCCGCTACACGTGAACCATTAATATTAATAACCTGATTCCAGGTCATCCCCATACCCCGTCCGGTATGGGCGCCAAAACCATAAAACTCAATACCCCGTCCGGTATGAGGGTAAAACGGGCCGTCCCCATACCCCGTCCAGTATGGGCGCCAAAACACATAAGGTCTCTATACCCAGTCCGATATAGGAGACCACGTTCCCGGTAGGGTTCCCTACGGACCCGGTCCGTCCATCATCTTCCAGGATATCTAGTCAAGCTACCCACATTATTCATTTATCAATTCACATAACCTTTTTTTCCCTTTTCTTTGGTCTCAATCATCCAATCATACACAAACACGTAAACCAGTAATTGACACCAAACAAGACAACACAACATCGGGTTCACCATAATTAAAACTATTATTCATGCATACGTAATCATAAAATAAATACATCACATACCATACTACATTTAAAGCTGAAAAATAGATCAAACAACAACTAGCCAACAAATACACCAGATTCGGGCTCCATTAGCAACCTTAAGCAATCATACACATCTCTTAATTTGTGAAATACCGTTTTATCATTTATTGAGCTTTAATGTCGTGATAGGAAATAGGGTGAGAGATCCTTACTTGTTTCGGGGTCTGAAATCGGCTCTACAGTGTGCCTACGGACTGTCTCTAAATTTTTCAATTTTTTTCCGGAAAACTGAAACGCACTACCGAGACCTGCACGTGTCCCAAAAAATTCCAAATCAAACCCAGAGCCTCTTTTCGGCCAATATCGGACTTCCAGCACGGCGGCTCCGCCGTGCTCCGGGGGCGACACCGCCGCCCGCGGCAGGGATCCGCCTCGAGTTGGCCGTTTTTTACTGTTTTTGGCAAAATTCAGCCAAACTTGCATTGGTTACTGCGATAAAACAAACCTAGGGCCCTCGGTGGGCCAAGAAATCACAAAAAACTGAGACTTACCGGCGATGGAGCCCTTGGGTGCGGCGACTTCTTCGGCGCGAGTCGCGATTTGATGTTTTGCTCTGGTCAACCTGTAGAGAAAAGGACGGTGATCACCGTGGTGTAAAAATTGCATCGAACGGGAACCGGGAAGGGCCTCATCAGAGGCAAAAACTGAGGGAAGCCGCGGCGGCACCACTGGACTTCAGTGGTATTTTTCGGCCGATTGGCCGGTGGTTTGACTCCGATTTGGCCATAGGTGATTTTAGCATTGAAAAACGAGCCAATGAGAGAAAATTTATCTCGTTTGGCAGTCAGAAAACCCTCCGATGCGGTGGCGGGTGGCAATGGTCGGCTCCTCCGGCGACTGGTTCTTCTTCTCCGGCGAGGGCACTGGCGGCTAGGGTTTGGGGTCGGGTGTGGGTGAGGTTATTTATATCCTTCCCCTTTTAATCTCAGCCATCCATCACGATTTAATCTGGACCGTCCAATCTCGATTAAATTGGGATTAAATCTGGACCGTCCATCGCGATACGATCTGGACCGTCCGTACCTGATTGAATCTGGACCGTCCGCACGCGTGAGATCTGGACCGTCCGAGCGCGCGGGAACAGATCTGGACCGTCCGATCGCACGCACGCGGATCACCCACGTGGTTCCGTCTCGCGTGGCCTCCCGCATCAGCTTCCTTGCCACGCGGCGTGTTCTAGTTGGCCGGGACTGCTGACTGGGCTACTGACGTGGCTGCTGACGTGGCACAACTTTCCTAAATTATGTTTTGACCTCCGGTTTCTGATTTTCTTTACAAAAATACCCACAGAATCTAAATTTTCACCCCTTTTTTCCAAAATTATTTTCAATTAATTCCCAAAAATAATTTTACCAAATTTAATCATTTTTATCATTTTTATTTCTATTAAATTAAATTAAATTAAATTAAGTTAAACACATAATTATTACAAAATAAATTAACCATTAAAATAAAATAAAATAAAATAAAAAAGATTCCAATACCCAAAAATAAAAAATTTATTTTTGCAGTGTTACAGAATGTGTTAAAATTTGTGCATCTGATCAATTTGTTTATTTGGAGAAATATTCATTGGCTCTATTTGTAATAATTGAGCTAAATATATATATATATGTATATATATAAATAAATGATAAAATGGACGGTTGTGATGTTTAGCAGGGTAAGTATTAATAGGAGGGGAAAAGAAAAGAAAAAAAAAGGAAAAAAAGAGAAAAGGGAAAGAAAAGGGGAGACAGTCGATAGATATTAGAGAGGGAGTCAGAGAAAGAAGAAACGAAAAGAGACGGAATGAGGTAGTCGGTCGAGGATTGAGAGAGAACCAGAGAAAGAGGAGACGATTAAGGTGAGTGAACGAGCCGTGGCTCTGGAGTACAATGAAGACAGGAAGTATTATAAACTTAAACTTCAAACATTGAAAATGGCAGAATATGGTTAAATGTTTATCTGAAAATATATATTGATGAATTGGACTCTAGTCGGAAGGGAGTGGATTAATGGAGAGGCTAGGGCGCCGTAGCAGGAAGGACGACTCGTGGGGAGTCAGAGGGAGAGTGAATAGGGAAAGAGAAATCTGGTAGGCGAGCGTGTGATGAAACGGTGCAGGAATTAGGAACGGGAGTGCAAAGGAAGACTGTATGACTCCATATTAGTATCTACATTTATCGTCACCACCAAGAGAGAAAGTCTAATTAAGTAGAGTTTGGGCTAGGAAAGGTAAAAGAACAAATGTATATGTGAATATTTTATCACCAAGGAGGGAGGAGATTTAAGGACCTCTGAGGTACGACTGAGAGTGGACTA